GCCGGGGGCCCGCCGCGGCGCCGGGGCCACCCTGCGCCGCCCACGTGGCCTCCTGCCACCTGCCAGCGAGGAGACTTCCCAGGAGCCACGGAGCAGCAGGGCCAAAGGCTGCCGGGAGAAGGTGCAGCCCCCCACCCGCACACCGGCCCCAGGGCTTGCTCGGGAGGCAGGGCAAGGAGACACCGGAGAAACAAGGGCTGGCAGGGAAGATGCCAGAGCAGCCTCCCCAGCCCCGCTCTGCTGGGACATCCCTGTCCCAAGGGCAGGACACGCGGCAGGCAGCGTCCCCGGTGTCCCCCCGTGGCCGGGCAGGGGCCGCCCGCGGCACCGGCTGCCCCTTGTGCAGCAGCCTTTGTCCCCGCCGGGAGCCCTGTTTACCCCGCGCACAATCGGGCCTCTGTGCACAAACATTTGCGGGTCTGTGCCCTCCGCCGGGCCCTCGTACCAGGCGGGGGCTCAGGGCAGCTCTGTTGAGCCCTTGTTGGGAAAGGGAGGAGTGTTTGTGGGTTTGTTTTCTGGTGGGTCTTTTTTTGGATGCAGGTCATTGACCCTTCAGACAACTCATCCCTAGAAGCTCAGGGTCAAGGAGGCCCAGGGGTGCCGGGGACACAGCCCTGGGGCAGCAGGGCCCGCCTGCCCCATGGCGCGGGAGACGGAGGCCATGGAGCAGCGCGAGGGCCCAGCCAACAGCCCCTCATGGCGGCCGCGCAGGCTCCTTCCCGCTGTCCTCAGCACCGCTGCCACCCCTGCAGGGCAGCCTCCCTCCCACAAAACCCTGAATAAACCCACCCCACCCAGGGCAGAGGCTGCCGGGAGGGCGCGGGCGCAGGGCAGGGCACTCCAGGGCCATATGGTGCCGCAGGGGCCCAGCAGCAGGGGAGCAGCCTCCTGGCCAGGGGACTTGCGCCTGGCCTCCATGCCTGGGCTCGAGCAGGACCAGCCATCGTCACCCCAGCTTGCACGGGGCACATGGCAGCAGGGACATGGGAGAGCCAGGCTGGGCCGTCCTCGCCGGGCCAGGCCGGGGGCAGCGCTCTGCAGGCCCCGCGGCTCCGCTCCATCCCACCTGCGCGTGGCCGGGAGCTGCCGGCGCCGGCTGCTCCTTACATAACGCTCTGGTGCTGCGTGGCAGAGCCCTCCACCCACAGAGACCTCTGAGACGGAGCGTGGCCGCTGCCTCCAGCCCCGTCCTCTGGCTCCAAAACCTGCGGCAGTCCCAGCGAAGGCCCCTCCCGGCCGAAGCTGCCCCATCAGCAGCACCTCCAGCCCAGCCTGCACCAGGCACTGCTGTGCCCGGCGCCTCCAGCTGCTGCCCACGCTCTGCTCCACGGCTGCTCAGACCAGCGTGCAACCACCAACCTGAGCCCTCCTGTCACCGTTTCCCCTCCCCAGCTCACAGCACAGCCCTCCCATAAGCTCACAGCAGAGCCAGGGGACGTGGCAGCGCTGGCCACCCTGGCAAGGGCAGCGTTGGGCCTTCCTTCCCTCCCAAGGAAGGGAGGGAAGTGGAGGGACCAGAGCACCCAGCATTCGTTATCACAGCGCTCTCCGGCTTCTGTCGTGTTCCTCCTGCACTCTTTGCTCCAGGGAAAAAAAATACAACTGTTCCTGTAGTGTCAACAAGCAAATATTGGCCCTCATCCAGCTGAAAAGCACCATGCACAGCCTGGGGCAAGGCTGGGTGAAAAACCCTGCCCTGCGCTCACTGCAAGAAAGGGCACGATTTACACCATCGTTTCACCGGGGAGGAATGAGGAAGAGAAGTCCTGCTGCTGCCACCCTCGTCCCACTAGCTCTTCTTCAGGTCCAAGCTTGCTCACAAAGACCAGAGGCAGAAGGCCAGGGTGATGGTTTGCAGAAGCCCCTGAACACAGGGTCCACTGGCTGCCAGACAACCAACACCTAAACTTTTCCAACAGCATTTAAAAGACAGAGAAAAAGCTTTGAAATTTGAAGCCACCAAAACATGAAACTATAGTGTCAAATACCTGCTTAGTGAAAGCAGGATCCCCCACATATGGGGAGTGCAAACAGATCCAAAGGCTGTTAAAGTAAAAGAGGGGTACCGGAGACTTCCGATGATCGAAGCCTAGGCACTTGGAGCCTCTCTTGGCTCCTCTTCCAGGATTTCACTGCTCTCCTTGTGAAGGATTTCTCCATTATACCCAAACCAGAAGGTCCCTTGGTGCAGCTTGTATCCATTCCCTCATCTCCCATCACCACCTGCCTCCAGGAGAGCATCCCTCAACCTCCCTCCGGATCCTCCCTTTGCAGGCATGCCCAGGTGACAGGCCTGCGGGATGGGTTTGGGACACACATGGGGGTGGGGAGGAGGAATCTGGAAGCACCAAGTTACCTAGAGGAGGTATCCCCTGTACTGGATGACTGAGGCTTTCTATAACCCCTGCTCTTCCCTGCTTGAGCCAGGAACCCAAGTGAGAGCCAAGAACCAGAGCTTTTCTGCCTGCTCTGCTTCCAGAATGTTGCCTTAGCTGAGTAGCAGAGCAAGAGGTCCAACAGGACAAGTCACTGGGCAGCATTTGTGGACAAGGATCCTGAACAAAGAAGTTTCCTCTCCCATCTCTTGCTTTTGCCTCC